TTTCCCTTTTAAAAACTTCTCTCTGACTCCTTGAATAAATCATAACAGCCTCTGCACAGGTCAGGCAGTCCTACCTCTGATCTGATCAGCCTGGCATTATAATGCCTGCTCACATTGCCTGTCCTGTCAGATATATTCTCACAGGCTCATAGCTGGGTTCTGTGCAAATTCAGCCTCATTACCTGTGACAGTCCTGGAAGGTGACAGGTTAACTGCAGCAAACAGCTATTCAACTGAAGTTCAGAGCAGCTGGGTTTCTATTGGAAAAGAATCTGGTAAACCTCAGATTCAAAAGTAGGTATTTCACTTTTTTGGGCATCTTTGCTCTCCCTGAATAAAAAAAAGTGTGAGTTTCTGGTTGTCTGCTTAATGTGCAAACTGTTGAGTCTCTGTGGTGATGTGCTTAATGTGCCTCCTACCTAACAGCTCTTAGTTGCTTCTGTGGTGATGTATATTTATATGCTTTAGCTGGGACCTTTTGTCTTGCTCAAACCTTGGCAGTATTAACAGGCTAGAGCTAGTTGGCCTGAATGGTTTTTTCATGTCTGGACCTAGATAGAAGGTGATAGAATAACCAAGGCAGCCTGAATTTGTCTGCTTTATGAAATGATTTAAAGAAAGTTAGTCCTGGGAGTTATGTTCAGTTTCTGCTTGAGGCTGGCTGTGGATTTGAAGTAATTTTTTCATTTGTGTTCTTTATAGACTCCTGTACTAAAAAAACCCTGAAATAATGTCTTCATATGGTGATGGATAGTCTTACTTGGTAAGACAAAACCTTGTGTAAACTTCTGTAGATTGCAGGTCCAGTCATGTCTTTTCAAAACTCAATGGTATACAATCTTGTAACAAAATTCTCAGGTTGGTCCAGCTATACAGTTTCCTCTGAGAAGTCTGAATTGCTGTCATATGGAAATTAATCTGAGGTATTTAAGTGAGGCATGAATATGATTTGGTAATTCCGACTACAATCCTCTTGTAACTGGGACATTTGCTACAAGCAAGGATTATTGCTTTTATGCAACCTTATAGGAAAAGGGCCAACTTTCTGAGGTAGGGTTTGGTTCTAAATAAAGTTACATGTAGGTAGGAGTCCGTGTGGATGCTGGATGTCTAAACTTAGTGGAATGAGATCTTGTCAGCTTAGGCAATGGGGTTCAGTGTGATTTAATACACCTTGCTGTTTGATCAGCTGAATACTGCAACTGACTCTAGGTCAAGTGTGAAAGTGTGACCCTTAAACCTGTACTTCTGTTGTATTTCATGCTTGAAAATAATCTCCAAGCTTACACAGACTTAAAGGCAAAAAGTGAGCTGGCCATGGAAGGTCATGATGTGGTTGTCTTGGTGAAGGGACTCTGGATATAACCTCTGGCCATGGAAGGTCATGATGTGGTTGTCTTAGGTTATATCCAGAGTCCCTTCACCAACACAGCTCTGAAATGCTGGCATGTGTGAAAGGTGTTTCATAGCTCAGATATGTACAAACGAGGCAGGAGGGTGTTAT